CGTATTGCGTTTCCGTTTGGTGCTGGTAATCACAAGAACGCTTTCAAAACTAGGTCGGCTAGTCCACGTTGCTTGGCTCGTTTGGATTGGGTGCCGCAGCACGTAACCAGGCATGTCGCAAGCTGTTTGTTGATTTCGGAGCTGGACAGTCACAGGAAAGCTTGGACTTGTCGGACAGCAGGATGGCAATCGAATGCAATTTCATATCCGTGGGGTTGCGAAGCTTCATGAAGCAGAGGTCGTCGCCTCCCCGACGCCACGCAACAGACGTTGAGGGTCACCTCGAAGTTATAGGCGTGCAACTTGACCGGCAACGAAGTTCCCCTTGTCTGTTGAAGCACTTGCCTTGGCACGGCTAGCGACAAGGGACAGCAATGGACCTCTTGCTCCATTCCATTCAAAGCGAATTCGGTCGAATCGGAAGCTTGGGCTCAACTACTGCGTTCCCTCTTTTTTCGCTAAGCTTGTCAAAATGTTGAGGAGGGCTGATGTGACGTCGGGCCAATGGTGGTGTCTTGGTTGGGAAGGCAATCTCCACCGGGCGAATCGCGTCCACCAATTCCCTCAGAAACTTTGCGGCACGAGTGTGTTCACTGCTGGCACACATGCGATTGAGCTATAGGTCTGCCTATGTAAGCTGGAACGGATCGCCAGCCACTACTTCTGAAGCTTGTCAATCCTTGGCAACACGTTCAGCAAGGCCTCCAGTTGCGTGTGTCCCTGGCTACTGTCGCAAGACACGCCAGGAATCCGAGCAAACTGTAATTCTCCATATAAAACCACGCATGTGTGTTCCCAATTTATGCCATCAGGTCTGGAGTCCGATCTCTGCGCCTTTGACTGTAGCCGGCCGGACGGAAGGCTACCCAACTAATGGCAAGATGCGGGAGCATTGTACTTGCACCTTACATGCTTGTTCATCGCATGTGCAATCCGGAGGTCTGGCTATGTTGATTTGCCACATATGGCAGCTTGTTCTCCCCGACGAGTTTGCATCCGGGCTTGATGTTTTGCGATGCAACGCAATCTCTGCGCTGAAGGTGGCAAGCGAGAAGAGCTCCCCAGCGCCCATGGGCTATCTCTACTCCGGCTTCCTGGGTCGTGTGGCAATCTTCTACCTGGTAGGGGGCTCCAGAGCTCTGTCCTTGTGCAAAGGATGTCTGAGGGCTCTTAGAAAATTTTTGGATGTCCTAAGCATACCAACCAGCTGCTGAATAAAGCCTGATTAACACTTTCAAGAACAACCAACGTGATCTGCAGGCTTGGCAGGATTTGGTTTCACACAGGGTTCACACCCCTTCTACTGCCTCAGGCCTTCTCCGCCCCATTTCTGCTTTCTCGACAGCCTCCGCCGGCCATCTAGGGCTTTGGGTTTCCGTGAGCGCCCATCCGTGATCAGGCAGTCAGACAGAGCACAATCAATGTTTTCGCGCGGGCTAACAGTAAGAGGCATTCACAAGATCTGGACCAGGATAACATACATGACATCCGTGTGAAGCGCCGGGAAGGTTCTGGCGCCAAAAAAGGAGGTAATTCATCAACCTCAACCGGGTAAAGGGCTCATGTGGCGAGTTAGGGCTGTGCTTACGGCGTAGGATCCTCCACCGGATTGAACCATGGACTAAGCGGTTTAGCACTACCTCTGAACTTTCAAGGAGGTATCGTACGGTTAGGGTTTAGGTTTTGGGTTTAGTGTTAGTAGGGTTTAGGGTTTTAGGGTTTAGGGTTTACCCTGTTCTTCGCTTACCGGTCAGACAGCACCCCGTTGATGCCAGAAGGGGCAGCAGGCATTCGAAGTGACACTCCAAACTGGCCTATAAGGCAGCGTGAGATGAGAAGAGTCGAGGGGCAAACGAAAGGCCTCTAACCCCAAACCCCCAAACCCTTTGTTTTGAGCATGATTCGCCCGGGAGGGTGGGGAAAGGAACCAAAGATTTTGGAGACAAATGGACAGAGTCGTCTCCTGCAGCCCATGCCGTGCAGGTGTGTGTAACGCTGTTGCCGGTTCCTGCGTAAGTCGTGTTCCAGTGCGGCTCACTGCTATGGTAGCAAGTGCGACTTTTGGCCTCGCTTCGCGAGCAGCAACATAGGCATAGCACCCGTTAAAATGTCCCAGCTGTCCCTCAGCTGTCAGTAGCTTCGCGTGAGCCCGCAACTCCCCTTTGACGGAAACATAAGAAGGGCGGGAATGCTTGATTGGCCCTGGCAATGCCCTGGCCCACTTGAATCGGGACTGGGAACAATGAAGCGACGATGGGAAGTCTCTTCAAGTCCTAAAAGGCTCCCAAAGTCTCGTGGCTTGAAAACAACGGCCCTTTCACCTCCCCCTTGCCACTGTATTTCTGACATGAAACCCAGCTTACCTCCGTGGCCGTGCTAAAACTTGCTTTTATTGTTATTGTTCGTGTTATTGTTATTTTCTTGTTCTTGATATGTTGTTATTGTGCTTACCGTGCGATGTCCACCAAGGATTCCTCCAAGCGGACCATTTTACGAGCCTGTGAATTTGGTACTGAAGCTCGCACCAGCCACCCTGCTAACCAGACAATCCTCAACAGAGCTTCCGGATGTGGCAGCTCCTGCAGGACTAAAACCAGTCACGTGCCAGCAACAACGCATTGTTTTTTTTGTGCGGATTGCGCAGGATCTCTGTAACGGTATCTACTTGCCCGCATCCACACATGCTCAAGACATAGTTCAAGTTGTATTATCAGGCCACTTCGTATGTTGTTTTGGAGGGTTTGTGGGCTTGCACGAGAGAAGAGGAGAAACTCACCGCCTCGCTGCTCAGTTGGAACATCTTCGTAGCCCGGAACTTCTCGCTGACGGGACGGGCTTTTTCGGAGCCCAGAAGAATCGTTGATGGTGAGCGCAAAGAGCATGGGGTGGGATCCTGTCGGGGCAGAGCTTTGCGAAGTCGACCCAGAATCCTTCGATCGCGCATGATCGCGCTTTTTCTTTCTCAAACAATGGACTTTTTGGGGCCGAACTGGATATGACCATCTGCGGCTTTTGACAGTGGAGGCATAGGCCGCCGGCATGAAAGATCAGCAGGTCGTTGAGCGAGAGCGTTGTCTAAACTACAGGCAGGTTGCACAGAGGTGGAGTACGATCAGTGTCGCAAGCTGATGAAGCCTCCACCCAGTCATGTCATCATGTCATGTGGCCCAGGGCACAGGCAGACATCCGTCCTCCAGAGCACGACTGCCACCTCCCTCCAACAATTCCAGCAGGTCCAGAAGTCCCAGGTTCCCAGGCGTCTCATCAGGGAAGCAATGCGACGTCCGCATGCCACAAGTGCCAGAGAAACACGGATGTTTTTTTTTTTCGATGAAGACCTTAGGCGCCCCGGCAAAGAAGCCGGAGAGAGCCTCAGAGCATCTGCAAGCTGCAACCCCCCCCCCCCCCCGCCACCCCCGCCCCCTTGCACAGGCGATCCAGGAGCTCCAAGATGAGCTCGATCATCCTTCGGGGACCGTCCCTGCCAAGCCGTTGGCTGCCCGGAGACAAACAAGCCATGAAGAAGCTATTATCAGAGACCTTCCGATGTTTTTAAAGCTTCACGATGTTTTGTCACCTTGACGATAGGCGCATGCTTGAGTCCTTGCTGAGGTTCGCCGTAGTTGTTGAATCCGAAGATGCCACTCGGTGATGTCGTCGCCACAAGAGCTCGGAGGATCGTATGTGGGGGTTTAAAACACAGCCCCAAATAGTAGGATCCCCTTCCTGTAAGGACCCCAATAAGGTACCCCCTACTTTCGGAAACCACGCCATGTAAGGTTGATGCCTTCGCTTGTATTGTTTTGGAAGCCTGGACCTTGGGAGGAGGGGAGAGCCCAACAATCTCCCCAACGAGCGAACTTCGGCGCAGACATCTGCAGGCATCCGGCTTTAGAGGGTGCAAGGATGTGTAAGCCAGGTTTAGTTTAATTGCAAATCTGCAGTGGTCAAAGGATTCGGAAGCATGTTTGATGGGGAATGATCGGGCATGCATGTTACAACCGATAGAGTTGATGCGTCAGGCAGCTGCTTCAAGCGGCAATACGGGAATTGGCACTAGCCGCGTGGAGATGTAGCTCATCTCCGCCCATTCATTGAATGCACAACTGGTTGCAGCAACTTTTCCAAAGCTCGGTCGAGAGGGCTGGCGTTGCCTGCTCCACAGTCCCCTACCAAAATCCCAGAAGAGGATAGTTGGTCAAGCATGATTGACTTATGAGAGAGATGCCTTGTCACGGATCATGCTTTCCGGTTTGGCCATGTATCTTTTGCTCACCATTTGACATCTATGGCCTAAATACCACACTCCTACAACTATCTGCTTATTACGTACTGCACAAAGTAAGTACTCATGGCAAAGGCAGATCTTTTGCATGGCATGTACAGTTGCCTAATTACATGGCTCCAGGGCAGCGCATCATGCGCGTTGATTTGGAGGCGCGGATCAGCTGCCATTCTCGAATACAAAATACCGTTCAGATTTGCATACTTCCAGCCAGCTAGCTACTCCTCAATGGAGGGGCCTGATCGGAAGCGCTCGAATCTGCCGAAAACAGTGGACAAGCCCAGCTCAGCACTTCGCGACCGTTCATTTTTCTGATCTGTCTGCTTCAGCTTCAACCTCTCATCTCTCTGCCTGGCTTTGGGCCCGGCAGGCTAAGGAACCCAAAGGACACCTTGATCACGATGGCCACACTCGAAAGAAGCAGCGATAGAAGTCACAACTGAACCTTACATGAACCGTCCGGAACTCTGAACCATCGGCAATCACCCCCAACCAAGAAGCTTAAAGAGCTTAGCTTGGCCCTTGAGTGCCCACACGCGGTACGCAGAGCATCCCCGGGCGCAAGGCCACGGCAAGAATTCAGAACTGCTTATGCCAACGAGCAATGCATCCTTTTGCTAGGCATGGCTCCCAACGAACAGGCTTGGATGCTCCATGAAGCATCTTGAAGCCACGACGTGCCTCGTGTCTGTACTCAGAGATCAGATTGCAGGAGATGCAGAAGGAGCTTGACAAGTTCAAGGCTCGGATTCGCTGGATTACGCTGGCCGTTATGACAAGTGGAAGATCTGAGAAAGCGCAGGGCATGCAGGAAGGCCTGCAGAAGGACTACGAAGCTCGAATGGGCTTGATCGCCCAGCAGCAGGCAACAGGGTGGCATCCGTAGAGAGGCGAAGAATATACTGGTGATATCGCCCCTCCAACCCTGCGATCCCGCTAAAATCTAAGCCCTAAACCCCAGTCCTTGTCAGGAGACCGAGCTTGTAAAGCAGGAGTTTGACTCCATAGAGGCCGGCTTCACGTGTAATAAAAGCGGGCAGGCCAAGGGCAGGGCCTGGGGCATAAAAGCAGGAAGACGCCATCGTCTACAAGCTGGTTGGCCCTGCAGTTCGACTGGAATCTTCAGGATTTCGGGTTTAGGGTTGTTTAGGGTTTAGGGTGCCGGAGCGAGAGTGAGAACATGCACTACAGACGAAGCTAAGGTCATGGTCAAGCAGAACGTGGACGATGCAAAGGCCCAGCACGTGGCCTTTGCATGCGGAGCGGTCACTCGAATTGAAGACTGCAAGTGAAGGCCAACGTAGTCAAGCGCTTGGAGTACATCTCCGGGGAGTTGGATAGGCCGACTTCTTGGAGAGGGGAGCAGAACGTTCATCCTGTGTCTATCGTACTAAAGCTTTAAGACTCTGCGTCAAGGTCGAACAAAATCATCGCCGAAAAGGAGAAAGACCTGGGCGACAAGCAGAAGCAGCTGATAAAGTAACCTACTCAGCATTCAATGGCTGCTGACATTCTTGTTTCGCGCCTGCAGCTCGCCACTTGCCATCGATCGACGATCTTCACCAAGGATGCAGCAAGAGATGCAGGGATCTGCATGAGATGGAAGCGGAGAGCATCAGTAAAATGCTCAGCCTTGCATCTTGCCCTGCAAAGTGCTGGTTCCTGCGGGAGAGCATAAGAAAGCCTGCAACGTTTTCGTCTCCTCTGGCCCCAGCGTTTAGATGTAGGTCCACAGCCACATGAGGCTACATTGCACAGAAGGTGAGGAAAGCTACCATCACATGGGGTTGGATGATAGGTCTGGCTGAGCAAGGGTCACCCTAGCAAACATTCCGCGAAAATGCCAGACAGAGCAGCAAGGTAATCGAAGCTATGCTGTGATGGAAGACATTGCAAGTGTGAGCAGCGTCAGGCCCAATAGAGCGTCCACGATAAGCTCGTCCGCCATGTCGTCACAAGGCTTCGTTTGAGTTGACAAATCTTTTTGTCAGGGATGAAAAGCCTTCGAGCGGATGGGTACTGCAGGGAGTCATGCGGACTTGGGGCACGCTAGATCGCGGCGAAGGCCTTTGAAGTTCGTTACTGCACGTACTCTTTTCGCAGAACCGTAGCTACAGCGATAGCAGGAGTGCGACGCGATTTGCACCGACAATTTTCCTGGCAGCTCTTGTGCCCCGGATGCAGTGCAAGTGGCTCATGGCTAGGGATGTCGTTTGTTGATCTCTGAAAACTATTCCGTTTCGAATTGTCAGAATCAACCCTACAGAAACGTTTCTCCCGAGGCCACAATTTTCTTGGCTGGCCGGTGCCCCAACCTCCCTGGTAGTTCGTGTTTGGGTAGATCGCGGCTTCTTCTGATGGAGTTGCAGAGTCTTGGGGCTTGAAATTGTGGTGGCGAGGTGGATGGGTGAGCCGAGTATCTGTTTCCCATGCACGAGGCCAAGAGGCCCCCATCGTCTTCAGCAGTCTCCGGCAGCTTGGCCAGTCAGTGTTTGATGTGCACCTACGCGGCGCCATGGTTCTAACCGTGTGACCTGAGGAACGTTGCTCCTACAGCAGCCGGCGATCGTTTATCAGGATGGTCAATGATGGGCACACACACAATACGTATATAATATATATATATATATATATATATTATATACAGATATATACATATATATACATATGTATATATATACATACATATATACATATACAGAATCAAAGATATGAACTCAGACATGTGCCTTGTACATTAATATTGCATGAAGTAACTACATCCTGTTATCTTATCTTCCCTGGGATGACCGCTCTGCAAGTCTTTGGACCACTGCAAAGTCACAAGTCATGCCAGGATCGCGGACAGCTCGCAGAGCCGAGGCACACCGTTGCTTGGAAAGGAGCAGCAATATGCGAACTCCTAATAAAAGGGTATATTATGATACGAAAAGCAATTTTCTGACACAAAATCGTTATCTGAGGCGATTGCATGATTGCGCTTGTTCTCTATCTCGGGAGTTCTACATGTTCCTGCACATGTTTATCGCTGAATAAAGCTTTCTGTGCAGGTGCAGGAGTTGGAGGAGGAGTTGGAGGAAGAAGAGGATGAAGATGCCCTAGATGTCGATCTGGACAAAGATCCCAATTGGCTCAAGGTGAAGCAGGCGAGGTAGTTTGTTCACTGTCTGAAGGCCGATTCGCCCCTGTTCTGCCGGTGCACCTTTTCTCTTTGCATAGGGCCAAACTGACTGCTGCCATCTAGCAGACATGAACACTGTGCAAGCTACAGCTACTTGGCAGACGGCCTGCTAGGAAATGGTACGGATTTGGGACATACGATACGAGGCAAGGGCCTTCTGAGAGTCGGACTTCGCAGCCCAAAAAATCACGCTATCACGGAGGATGAAGACTGGCTCATCGCAGACGACGTGAAAGCCTGGACCTTGGCTGTTGCTTTGCGATTGATTTCTGTACGTGTTTGGCCGCATCCCCGCACGGCCTGGAGCTGCAGGGAATCATGGATGAGCACCTGCAAACCATCATCGGAAGCAGCCTAAGCAAAGCCGGGCTGGGTCAAGTCTTGAGCCTTTTGAACATTTGCACATCTCTTGCTTGTGTGTGTTCTCTCTCTCTCTCTCTGGCTTTCTCTTTGGCTGGACTTCCGGACGCTGTCAGCAAGTGCACCTATATCCGAGGCAAGGTGAACTATCTGGAACTTGAAGAGACATTCGTGGAGGATCGGCCCTTGGCTAGTCTTTGCTTGCTTGCTTGGAACAGGGCTCGACTCCTCGTCGCCGGGTTTGACATGCAAAAGCTTAAGTTGAACATGCTCCAAGCCGCAGCTTCACCTTTGAAAGCCCTGGACTTCAAGAGAAAACTTCCACGCAAGGGACGGACGAAGGAAGGAAGCAAAGTCGGAAGGAAGGAAAGAATGAAGCAGCAAGAGCAAAGGATGGAGGGAAAAGAAGGAAGAACAGGAAGAAAGCATTCGGCTGAAAGACAGAGAGAAACTCTTTCGACTTGCAAGAGTTGCGATCACATCCTATGACAACGCATGAACTGTCCTGAGAATACTTAGAGGCCAATGAAACTCGGTGATGTTTGTGGAAGTGCAAACCCCAATCTCTTTTCAACCGTTTGGAATCCTGCAATTTCTATGACAAGGATCTTATGCAACCCCATGGAACTTTTGCCAGGCCTGCTTAGCTTTTCAACGCCATGAAAGCCTTCGAAGTAGAGCATGGTATGTCGCAATCTGTTTTGTAGGCCTTACGAAGAGCCATGACCCTAAACCCTTTCGGTTAAATTTTGCGAAATTCGATGACTGCTGTGACACTCGTAGGAGTAGAATGAAACTCGCGATCCCTACGCAAGCCAGTACTTTCATTCGGGATGTTTGAGAATGCTGAAGTGCCGATGTGAAAAAACGTATTTTTGCGATCGCATCTTACTTCGACTTCTCCAGTTTGTGTACACCTTCTGTTTTTTTGAGGGGGGGGAGCGGGTGGCGAGGTGTCAGCATTAGGGGACGCGAGTATTGCTCAGACACGCTCATGGCCGTTTGCTTTGTGTCATTGCAGACATGGGCTGACCAATCACAGAGCCGCCGAAGAAATATGTTCTTTCCTTTGTTTGCTCTTGTTTTCGTTTCTTGTCTTTCATTTTTCGAGAACCAGAGGAGTGAAGAATCATTTTAAGTTTCACCGCCCCCCCCCCCCTCGAATCTTGTTTTGGTTCTTGTCTTTTTGTATTCGAAAACCAGAGAAGTGGAGAATGATTGAAAATCGAATCTTCTTTTCGTTCGGCAAAAGCTGTCCGTTCCCGGTGCAAGCATAGTAGATCCTTCAAGTTGGAAGATGGGGTTCAATAAAGACTTTGCATCGAAGGCGATGTTGCACCACAACTCAGTGTCAGCGCAGGTGGCCGAGGATGAACCGAAGCCTGGTGAGATCAGCAAAGAAGACTTTGCTGAGGCCAGGCGCCAGACGAGCTGAAGTGCCGATGCGTGCCTCATGACTCACCCAGAATGTGCAACCATGTGCAACCCTGAGATTGCTGGCGCCTACGTCTACGGCACACTCTATCGTGAGTGATCCCAAAACAAAGCCGCGGAGAAGGGTGTCGAGTGGAGCTGTAAGCCGCGCCAGAAAAGAAGTGCGCCGCGCATACCCGCTTGTGTAACCCCATACATCCCATACCCATGTGACACTTCAATATGTCAGCCCCTTCTTTGATACCCAGGCAACTAGCGACAGGCCAGAGGTGTGCCATGAGCCGGTGTATCGCCCTGTTGCTCAAAGTCACTTGGGTGGATCCTGCCTCAGCTCTTGACGCATACACTTGCGCATTTGTGCGCGACTCAGTTGCCCGCGTTTGGCGCAGTGGGCTGTGCTATCTGCCGCAGGGTGGCACTGCTGTTCACACTGCGTCGTACTCGTTGCCATCCATTTTGCAAGCAAGGCTGCCATGGCTCGGCCGGTGGCACGCCCCACAGCGCGTTGCAACTCCGCAAGCTTGTGCTCTTTCAGAGGAGCAAGTTCAGCAGGTGCTCCCGACTGTCCTCTTGGCCTTGGCATGGGCCCGGGCATTGCGACGTCTCTGATACTTCCACAGTGACAATCCTGCCCAGCTGAGCTAGCGTCCTGATCATTTCGGCTCACGACGCTTCAGGCTGCACTCCTGTGCTCCAGCTGCTTTGTGGGCGGTCGATTTGCATCTGCCTCTCCACGAGGCCGAGCTTAAACTCCCGGAGTTCTCACAGCCAATTTTTTCTGAGCCCTGCTACGAGTATAGAAATCGATGCAGAGCCGCTACCAAAGTCTGAAAGGCGCGGTCACGGCGACCGCCGCGGTGCCAGAACTGGAGCTCGGCTCGTCCATGACGACGGCACTGGAGGACTTGGGCGTAGGATTTCGTGCTGGGGTTGTTGACATTTGTTGACACAAGCCGGAGATAACCAGAAGTGCCTGTGACCTGGAGGTCTCAACTCCTGGATGGTGGGCAAATATTGCTACTCGGTCCAACGATTTCCTGTGTCTTAATGACCTGTGAGGCCCGTGTTCCCTCATGAACAGCCTTCGCAGTCTCAGGTGACCCTGGTTGTCCCTTGTGCCATCCTCATCATCCTCTACTTGCAGTCTGAGCGGTCAGCTCCCCCAGCCCTTGTCACTCTATAGCCCTCGCAGTGATTCTAGAAGCAAGCTCGATGCGCATCGAGGACCAAGTTTGAGGCATCCCAGAAATGAGAGCGGAGGAGGCAGGTGTGATTTGATGGCGCATGGCACAGAGTGCCTGCGCACCGCAAGCCCGGATCTCACTGGTCCTCACATGTCTGAGAATCAGTCACCTATGCTTCAAGGGCCTGGCTTCGTGGTTTAGGAAGTTATACCAATTGAGGAGCGTGTGCAGCGAGCCAGTATGCAAAATGTCTTTGGGCCTTTGCTCTGGAAAGGAGAGGGCCGGATCATTGCATGTTTGGTCTTCTTGTTGGTCATTCACAGTGAACTATTCTGAAGCTGTAGAAATGCAAAACATGTGTGCAAGTCGTGCAAGAAGCATGTCCTTCCAAGGAGGTACTGGTAACATTGGCCCACCCGCAATAGGCATGACTGCGAGCATGTCCACGGCACCTTGGCTACCGGGTTTTTGCTGCAAACTCATCTTGGCTTGTTACTGTAATGTGTTGCTTCCTTTTTTGGGGTGGAAGCAAATCGTCATCAGGGTTCGCGTCGTGAAGCGCTGTAGTCATGCTGATGTGATGGTCGACTTTCGGCACTTTCGCTATTTTCACCTCAGCCGCTTTTGCTCCTTAGCCCTCTGCCCCGCCTTCACGAGTGGACGCAGCTGCATGGCTGCACTAGAGAATACAGTTCCGGTGGATCGCCGTCGCCAGGTGAGGTTCCGTGAGGCAGATTGCAGAGACTTCCTGCATCCGAGGTTGCCATGGCAGTCCGTCGCGTGCTCCTGCGCAATTGTGGCCAGACAGCTGGGGCTTGCTGAGGGGAGTGTGCTTGGACAGGTGCTCCCGATCGTTCTGCTCGGCGTTGCGCTGGCAATCGTCTGAATCCAAGCAGCACCGGCACTGGGAATGCTTGCATCGCATATCCTCTCTCTATTGCACATCAGCCTGGAGCGTCAGCTCCTTTCCTCTGATATTGGAAACATCGACTGATACAACTGCAGCAGTCCCAGGCCACGACATGCTTCGTTGGCGGCACGCACTCGACTTCGACATCACTGCGTGGAGGCTGGAAATGGATGCCGCAAGGACAAGTTTCGAGAGGATCACGCAGATGCCTTGGTCGTTCGCAGGCAGCCCCACCGCACGCGGCGCTGTGCCGGAGACCTTGGAGCTCAGCTCCTCCGTCACGACCGCGCTGGAGGCCTGCTGTACCTGCTGTACCTTCACATGCCTGCTCCGCCTGTACAGTTTGGGTTTGCTGGTGAAGCGTGGCATGCAGGGGTCGTGGATGGGCATGCTTCATCCGAGGTCTCGACTCCCGGCTGGTGGGCCAACATCGTGATAGCCTGAGTTTTCCCCAATCTATTTACTAATTCAGTGGACACCTGCCAGAGCCAATAGCAGCACATCCAAAAACAACCTGGCCCCAGTACCCTAGGTGACCCTGGTTGTCCCGTGCGCGATCCTCATCATCTTGTACCTCCAATCCGAGAGGCCTGGTCGACAGCTGCAAGACTGTTGCAAGTTGCAACATCCGAGCCAGCGCGTCGCCCTGCATTGACCGTCCCTGCACATGCCCTGCACACGCCGCATAGGACCAAGTTCGAGGCTTCCCAGAAGTGAGGGCAGAGCTGGCGGACGTTTTTGGCCACAAATAGGAAAAGGCAGCAAACAGCGAGCAAACAATGGCTAGTGGCTCGAGTGTGAGATGCAACGCTTTGTTCCGAACATTTTGTCTTTTTTCAGGCTTCTTGAACAGCGAATCAGGAAATCTATTAAAACGACACAGCGGCACAACCAAATACCCTAATGAAAATGGATCTGTGGCCTCTTGAATTCCGAACAAGACTCGATCATGTTCCCAAACCAAAGACTTCAACCAAAGAGCTTATTAAAGCCAAGTTTTTCTAATGATGTGAACAGACACGGCGATGAAGCATAGTTATCAGACATGCAGAATGATGGTTTAGGTACTGTGCTTAGAGGAACGGTCAATCAACTATTTCAATCCATGAGATTAGGCCAAGGCAAGGACACATGAATTTGCATGACTGCAAAAGAAAGCAAGATACGTGAATCGGCTCAGTAGTGAGACATGTTCTGTGGAGTTCATGCTTTCTTTGTTATCGCTGCGGTTCTACAACGAATGTCAGAGCGGAAATGGTTGCGAGCACGAAGTAAGCAAACTCATCAGGTCCGAAACCATGAGAGCCGAAAGATGTTGATCCTAGCCAATGCAGATGAAATCGACGAGGGAGTTTGGAAGAGGCGACAGGCCTGCTCTATGACAACGTCCTGCAGCACAAAGGGGAAAGCGTGATGGATCACACCATGCCCAAGAGTCACGAAACACTTGGACAACATCTTTCACAACTTTACGAAGCTAGCTTGGCATTGATTTGATCAGCGACTTTGTGCGGAAGCAGCAGAGACGCAAAGAACTGGCCACTCACAGTCAAACCTGTTCTTGACGCATGCAAGGGTCACTTAGGCATGTTGAATTCGCTTGGCATCCGCACTGCAGCTGTTTTTGTTCTTGTGCCCTCTTCTCCTGCCTTCACGAGTGGACGCAGCCGCATGATTGCACTGGGTTCGCGTTGATGTGGCCTCGCGAAAGCATGTGAGACCAATGTCACTTGAGTCGTTGCTGCCATGACTGCTTGCCCAGGTTGCCATGGCAGTCCGTCGCGTGCTCCTGCGCAATTAGTGGCCAGACAGCTGGGGCTTGCTGAGGGGAGTGTGCTTGGACAGGTGCTCCCGATCGTTCTGCTCGGCGTTGCGCTGGCAATCGTCTGAATCCAAGCAGTACCGGCACTGGGAATACTTGCATCGCATATCCTCTCTCTATTGCACATCAGCCTGGAGCGTCAGCTCCTTTCCTCTGATATTGGAAACATCGACTGATACAACTGCAGCAGTCCCAGGCCACGACATGCTTCGTTGGCGGCACGCACTCGACTTCGACATCACTGCGTGGAGGCTGGAAATGGATGCCGCAAGGACAAGTTTCGAGAGGATCACGCAGATGCCTTGGTCGTTCGCAGGCAGCCCCACCGCACGCGGCGCTGTGCCGGAGACCTTGGAGCTCAGCTCCTCCGTCACGACCGCGCTGGAGGCCTGCTGTACCTGCTGTACCTGCAAATGCCTGCTCCGCCTATACAGTTTGGGCGTGAGGTCTCGACTCCCGGCTGGTGGGCCAACATCGTGATAGCCTGAGTTTTCCCCCCAATCTGCGTCTATTTGCTGATTCAGTGGACACCTGCCAGAGTCCTGCCAGCACCCACAGCCAGCCAATAGCAGCACATGCAAAAACAACCTGGCCAGTACCCTAGGTGACCCTGGTTGTCCCGTGCGCGATCCTCATCATCTTGTACCTCCAATCCGAGAGGCCTGGTCGACAGCTGCAAGACTGTTGCAAGTTGCAACATCCGAGCCAGCTCGTTGCCCTGCATGACCGCACATGCCGCTTAGGACCAAGTTCGAGGCTGCCCAGAAGTGAGGGAAGAGACGGCAGATGTTTTTGGCCAAAATAGGGAAAGGGCGCCCATGATCTCAGAATATCCCAGAAGCAGCAGCAAAGAGTTGGCTGCTCACAACCGAAGCATACTGCGTTGACGTATGGAAAGGTCACGCAGGCATGTTCAATTCACTTAACATCCGCACTGCAGCTGTTTTTGTTCTTGTGCCCTCTTCTCCTGCTTTCACGAGTGGACGCGGCCGCATGTTTGCACTGGGTTCGCATTCGCGTTGGTGTGGCCTCGCTAAAGCATGTGAGACCCATGTCACTTGAGTCGTTACTGCCACGACTGCTTGCCCAGGTTGCCATGGCAGTCCGTCGCGTGCTCCTGCGTAATTGTGGCCAGACAGCTGGGGCTTGCTGAGGGGAGTGTGCTTGGACAGGTGCTCCCGATCGTTCTGCTCGGCGTTGCGCTGGCAATCGTCTGAATCCAAGCAGTACCGGCACTGGGAATACTTGCATCGCATATCCTCTCTCGATTGCACATCAGCCTGGAGCGTCAGCTCCTTTCCTCTGATATTGGAAACATCGACTGATACAACTGCAGCAGTCCCAGGCCACGACATGCTTCGTTGGCGGCACGCACTCGACTTCGACATCACTGCGTGGAGGCTGGAAATGGATGCCGCAAGGACAAGTTTCGAGAGGATCACGCAGATGCCTTGGTCGTTCGCAGGCAGCCCCACCGCACGCGGCGCTGTGCCGGAGACCTTGGAGCTCAGCTCCTCCGTCACGACCGCGCTGGAGGCCTGCTGTACCTGCTGTACCTGCAAATGCCTGCTCCGCCTATACAGTTTGGGCGTGAGGTCTCGACTCCCGGCTGGTGGGCCAACATCGTGATAGCCTGAGTTTTCCCCCCAATCTGCGTCTATTTGCTGATTCAGTGGACACCTGCCAGAGTCCTGCCAGCACCCACAGCCAGCCAATAGCAGCACATGCAAAAACAACCTGGCCAGTACCCTAGGTGACCCTGGTTGTCCCGTGCGCGATCCTCATCATCTTGTACCTCCAATCCGAGAGGCCTGGTCGACAGCTGCAAGACTGTTGCAAGTTGCAACATCCGAGCCAGCTCGTTGCCCTGCATGACCGCACATGCCGCTTAGGACCAAGTTCGAGGCTGCCCAGAAGTGAGGGAAGAGACGGCAGATGTTTTTGGCCAAAATAGGGAAAGGGCGCCCATGATCTCAGAATATCCCAGAAGCAGCAGCAAAGAGTTGGCTGCTCACAACCGAAGCATACTGCGTTGACGTATGGAAAGGTCACGCAGGCATGTTCAATTCACTTAACATCCGCACTGCAGCTGTTTTTGTTCTTGTGCCCTCTTCTCCTGCTTTCACGAGTGGACGCGGCCGCATGTTTGCACTGGGTTCGCATTCGCGTTGGTGTGGCCTCGCTAAAGCATGTGAGACCCATGTCACTTGAGTCGTTACTGCCACGACTGCTTGCCCAGGTTGCCATGGCAGTCCGTCGCGTGCTCCTGCGTAATTGTGGCCAGACAGCTGGGGCTTGCTGAGGGGAGTGTGCTTGGACAGGTGCTCCCGATCGTTCTGCTCGGCGTTGCGCTGGCAATCGTCTGAATCCAAGCAGTACCGGCACTGGGAATACTTGCATCGCATATCCTCTCTCTATTGCACATCAGCCTGGAGCGTCAGCTCCTTTCCTCTGATATTGGAAACATCGACTGATACAACTGCAGCAGTCCCAGGCCACGACATGCTTCGTTGGCGGCACGCACTCGACTTCGACATCACTGCGTGGAGGCTGGAAATGGATGCCGCAAGGACAAGTTTCGAGAGGATCACGCAGATGCCTTGGTCGTTCGCAGGCAGCCCCACCGCACGCGGCGCTGTGCCGGAGACCTTGGAGCTCAGCTCCTCCGTCACGACCGCGCTGGAGGCCTGCTGTACCTGCTGTACCTTCACATGCCTGCTCCGCCTGTACAGTTTGGGTTTGCTGGTGAAGCGTGGCATGCAGGGGTCGTGGATGGGCATGCTTCATCCGAGGTCTCGACTCCCGGCTGGTGGGCCAACATCGTGATAGCCTGAGTTTTCCCCCCAATCTGCGTCTATTTGCTGATTCAGTGGACACCTGCCAGAGTCCTGCCAGCACCCACAGCCAGCCAATATCAGCACATGCAAAAACAACCTGGCCAGTACCCTAGGTGACCCTGGTTGTCCCGTGCGCGATCCTCATCATCTTGTACCTCCAATCCGAGAGGCCTGGTCGACAGCTGCAAGACTGTTCAGACTGTTGCAAGTTGCAACATCCGAGCCAGCGCGGCGCCCTGCATTGACCGTCCCTGCACATGCCGCTTAGGACCAAGTTCGAGGCTTCCCAGAAGTGAGGAAAGCAGCGGAAGATCATTTGTGATGTGTCGTTGCCAGCGTGCTTGTCAACGTTGACAATTGTCATAGGGCCGGGTGTATAGCCAAAGTTCAGGAGTCTGATTTCAATCCTGATGGTCCCAAGTCTTTAGCTGGGAAAAGAGCCTGAGCGCACAGCTGCTGCGTGTCCGAGTTGGCGACGACCCTAACGAACCGCAAATCGGGCACCGACGAAACGACTCAAGGACAACTTCGGCCTGCATTTGCCATCAAGCAGAAGTTTCTCATACATGGAGCCAGCCTTCATTAAAAAGGAACCACTTCTTGGCGCAGCCAAAGCAGAATTCAGCAGATGCGCAAGAAGCCGGCTGTGGTGATGCGGCAATGATGGAAGACGCCTCTGTCAAGCAGGCCACGATGGTCCGATGAGTGTCCTTGAACCATGTCCACATAATGGGGGTTGCCGAAAATAGGGGTACCCTTTTGATGGTTCCTATTCTAGGATTACAATTATACTTTTTGGGGGATATATTCAGGGTACCCCCTACTTTTGGAAATACCCACATGAGTACATGATCAGATGCCCAGACGAGCTGACTAGCCACTTGCTTTCTTGCAGGAACCCGCAAGACCTGTACCAGTCAAGCCTCCGCTGTCTCATGCTCAGGGTTTAGGGTTTGGGGGTTGGGGTTTAGGGTTTAGGGAGGCTGCAAGCATCAAACAGCTGGCAGAAGCTATGCCAATGGATTTACCTGACTTAGTAACGACGTCGGTTGACCATGGTTGACGAACGGACCCCCCAAAATTAGCACCTGGCTTGCAGAATCAGAAGCAGAAGTACACAGAAGCAGAGACAGAAGCAGAAAGAGAATCAGAGAGAGAAGCAGAGGGAAGCACCCCTCGCGGGGTCATACGCCTAGCAAGCAAGCAAGCAAGCAAGCAAGGGAAGCACGGAAGATCACAGCGTGTGCTGCATGTGTGCAAAGTTCTCGCACAGCTGAGGCCCAGCCTGGTGTGCGCGGCACACGCTGGTTCATTGCCCCAAGATCGTCAGACTAAATGACAAAACAGGAGTTCTACATTCTCTTCGAGTTATTATGATATTTGAACTGAGAAATGTTCGAGAAGCAAAGGGTGGTCGGAATTGAGGTCAGCCGGTGCTCGTGCCCCTGTCCGCGAACGAGCAGAGCGACTGTGATGCTACCCTGGTGCGCCACTTGACCTACGCCCATTGTTTTTAGCACATGCGTCTGCCAATGGAACTGGACAGGACATCGCGTTCAGCTGGGAGCACTCGGTCGATGCAGGAGCTCTCACCAGCTCCTTGGCGAAGGTCCTCCCCCCAGCTTTATGAGGCTGCGGCAAGAGGGGCAAGACCCTCGGTGGTCCCAGAGACGTAGCCCCACACACGATGTCTTTCAGGCCTTGAGTCACTTTCCGTGCTGCACTGGGCGTTTCGTTCGTCGGCAGGTGGCCAGCGACTCAGGATTGCATTCATGCGACACTCAAGTCATGAGTGCACATGGCAGCCACCTGCTATGCCAAGTTTGTCGAGCCTGCTGCTGGAGCCTTCGGCTCGGGATTGCATGCTTTGATTCTGCAGTGCAGCTGCAAAGCTCGGCACAGCGCGTGGACTGCCGTATGTCAAGTTCCGCTTCAATCTGTGTCCAAAACCCCGCAAGCTGTGCGCACGCACACACAAACTAATTACTTGAAAGCTTGTGCCCACCAGGGTTTCATGGCTGACTCACACTCCTGAAACCAGACGGGCTGTTATGTCTCCGTCGTCCTTGTGTGGCACTTTGCAGTTGAAGAGGGAGTGAGGATACGCGAAGGGAACCAACCCGGTGCAGTGCATAATAGATGACGAAGCGACACAACGGAAGCCAATTAGCAAGCAACGTACGATAGCCTTGGCTATTCGTGTTTTTGTCAAGTCTCCCTGCTTCCACTTTTCCCTGAGAAGTCGCAGTCTGCAAACTGAAAAGAAGGAGAGAGGCCAGCACCGAACACACTTTGAAGTCCGTTGTTGTGTACCTGCAGAGTACCATGGCTACGAGCAATTCCTTCTCTGAAGGTGAAGGTGAAACAACCCCGGCTATGCATATTGTGCAACAACGCTTGGAGCTTGGACAGTGTCTACTTGGGACGTTCCCCCTTTCACCAGCAGTCCTTACTCAGAATTATACTAGGGGCTACTATAATCTCTATTAAAGACTGTTGCTATAAGAGGGGAACATCCCATGTGTCTGTCCACTCCTTCATGTGAGGTTTTGACTGATTGTGGCGTGCGCTTTTGGCTTCCATAGGCCGGCGTAAGCTTTAGCCACGGCCGCTATGATGGCAAAAGGCCATCAGACGATGCCTCAGGTTTCGAAAAATACTTTTGGAAGTTCTGTGAATGCTGCGTCTATGCCCTGCCTGCCCCTGCTCAGCTTCTTAAGGTGCTGGGGCCCATCACCGGTCTGTTTGACCGTGCAGTTGGAACTCTGAGCAAGGCAAGCCCCTGAGTTTGCACCTCCTTGTCTCCTTCTTGGACACTGCTGCATAGTGCTGACTCTGTCAAAGTGAGTAACTGCCGGAGGCAGATGCCAAAGGCGGGCCACTCTTAAGGGCCGACGCCTCAGAAGTGACCGAAAAGAGAAGGTGAGAGAACATGGCAGATCTTGCGGTTGGTTCACCCCCTTCCGCAGCACAAAGCTTTGAGAATTCCAAAAACTGAAGAAGTGCGAAGCTTGTTTGGCTTCGTGTTGCCTGCGGGAGCGGTAGACCTCTTGAGGGAACAGATTGGACGGGCCACAACATTGCGAGAGAATCCTCAGTGCTTAGTCGCCAGCTCGGCACTGCTGAAAGGTCAAACTCCTGGCGTGCGAGGACTGGCTTCAGTGGCAACCGGCAGGGCTTCATCCTAGTTACATCACACTTACATCGTGAGACATCCAAAGCTTACTCGGTAAGAATCAGCAAACCCGGAGCCTCAGCACCTTGACTTGCACATTCTTCTGTCTACGTCTATCAGAATGGCTCAAGGTTGACCAGTCTTGTCCAGGACGGCCAAATTCTGGCACTGAGCTTCTCTCAGGGCCTCGCAGATGTGGAGGGCATAGGCCCTGCGAGCCCTGTGAGAGCTTTTGTTACATGAGGATTTGTCTTTCGGGCATGTCATGGTCGCAGGTTTCTTCTTGCAAGCCTGGTGCCGCACACATTGTGGCGAGGACACCAAACGAGAGAGATGTAGTCAATGTAGTTAATGTAAAGAATTGCATAACAATTCTTATAAATAGCGAGACAGAGGTAGAGAGAGAGAGAGAGAGTCATGTCATGTCATATCATGTCATGCGGAGTCATTCACGGCGTCGAATTCCAGCTGCCGTGCAGGAACCAGGGCCAGCATCTTTGGACGCCCGCGTTGTTTTAGAAGGTGCTGTGAACAATGCCTGGAGCCCATGGGACCGTCGCGCAATTTTGAACCTGACATGATGCTGCACGCATCCGCAAGTCAAGAGATCGAGATCCGAGCGTTGCTTCCCGGAATCCAGTGTGCATGATTTACGAGGCTGTACTCTGCAGATGTGCCAGCCAAGACAGGCCTGTTTGTGATGTGAGTGGACTAAGGGGTTCCCAAAGCTGGACTCTTCCTTCACGTACCTCCATAGACGTGAGCTCGCCACGAGAGTCGGAGACTCAGCTCCCAGCCACCTTGGGGTTTTAATATGGGGTTTGGACATCAAAACGATGTTTCCCTTCGTGGCGGGGTTTGTTTTGTAATTGCATGAGGGGTTCTGCCATAACATGGGATGAGGTATCACCCTCACGATCACTTTGAAGCCTTGCAGACTATTGGCTCAGTAAACTTTTATTTCGTGATCAACTCGAAGGGCGTGTTGGAATCATGTCTGTGATGGCAAGCCTTCACGGGTAATCCTGCGCCTCCTATCCGCAACCTGAGACAACCTCGATTCGTTGGCACAGATCAAAGCTTTGATGCAGCTGATATTGAGGGGTCACGGGATGCTTCACCTCAGGCTCCTACGGCAGTACCCTTAGTGACTCTGCAGCCGTAGCCTCTGTAGCGGTACGTTCGAGCAGCTTGCCTCGCTTGTTACGAGCCATGGGGTCTGCCTCCTCCATCTCTTCTGCATCGGCCACTGCCTCGGCCATGGTTCAAAACATACAGCCGCCAGCAGCAGCTTCAGCAGTAGCCTCCGCAGTGTCGTCAGCAGCCGTTCCCCTAATAAGCAAGCACCTGGGCGAGTTCGTAGGTTCATCGCCGAAGGACTCCTCCATCAATCTTGTGCAACTGTTATCACTTGCTCAGTGGCAGCTGAGCTGTGAAGCCGACGTAAGAAGGATGGTGTTCACCTATTTCCTCATCCTCGCAGCTAAGAAGACCCTCAGCCATACTTCCATGATAAAGTTTGCAAGGCTATTTCTTGACATTGGCCCGGAGATGGCACTTCCCGAAGTGGAAGGGCAAGATGTTGTGGCCTGGTCCAACTTGCGGGATGCCGCAGATGACTGTGAGCTGGACGACGCATCAAACGAGGCAAAGCTGGCAAAGTTGGAAGCTCTCCTCCAGACCACGTCTATGAGCGCGTTAGAGTCCGATTGGAAGCCGGACACGTGGCACGTGCCAGAGACGTCTGCAGCTTTGGGATTTCGCGAAGAAGCACTGCCAGTTCTCATGAAGAAGGCGGATCCTATTGTCAGAGCCTTGACAGGGAGATGCGACGAAACGAGCCCAGGTGAAAGCACAGCAGCTGGAGAGTCTGCTGGGCATTCTGCTGCCAAGCAAGTTGCCATGGCCATACCCTTGATGATCCAAGTCTCACACAGTTGCAGACGTGTGGTTCAGCTGCTGGAAGACGCCGTGCATCCGCTATTTGGTCAGAGCTCCCTCCAGTCCACGTGGCTTGTGGAGTCATGCAAGTTCGTTTTGCCTGCCGGCCGCTGCCCTCTGACTGGTTTGGACTTTGAGCAAAGTTTCACGTTCCATTCGTTCGGCCTGAACTTGCTAGATCGACTGCGGGAGGATGTCAGCAGCCTGGATGATGCAAAGATTCTGCAAGAGTTGGGTGACACCAACTCACCCTGCCAATCCTTTACCACCAACAGCCGATCCGGAGCGATTTTTTTGACTTCATCCACTGGCAGCTTCATCATAAAAACAATCTCACGGAAGGAGGCCCAGGCTTTGATGGACGTGATGCCCAAATATGTGCAGAGGATGTGTGGTGATCGTGTAGGGTCCATGCTGGGTAGATACCTGGCCCTCTTTCGCCTCAATCTTGGTGGGCTACAGGGATCTCGTTATATCACCATCATGCAATCCGTCATGGATCCCTTGCCTCAAGTGTCGCTCCTGGCACTCTATGACCTGAAGGGTTGTGCAGTTGGCCGCCACGTCCTGGACGTGTCCTCAGAGTTTGTACGTAAGGATCAGAACTGGCTGGATGATGGTGGGCGTCTGCAGCTGTGCCCGGAGGATGCTCTGAGGCTCCGGCAACGACATGAGCGCGACACAACATTTCTCAGTATGTGCAATATCATGGACTACAGTATCCTCGTGGGCATTGCCTTGAACGACGACACCAGCGGAACAGACTATGGCACCGAGGTTCTGCAGAGTGCAGATGGAAAGTATTTTTATTTCATCGGCATCATTGATTTTCTGGTGGAGTACGGGCTCACAATGAGGTTGTACCATTTGCTCAAGCACGAAATGCGAGGGATGAACAAGAAGGACTGTGTTGTCATTGACCCGGACTACTACGCCGAGCGCCAGCGCCAGTTCTTCCGCGACGTTTTGCTGGACCCAAGTGTGGCGAGCAGCGACGTGGACTCATTGGTAGCAGCAGAGATTGCTTCACTTCCGCCGCCTTTCTATGACGAGGACCTGTGGATTGCCTCTTGTCGGCCTCCTGTGCAGCTCGACCGCTTGTTGGATGACTGCCAGCTGTACCAGCCAGATTGCCGACACTTCTGTGAACATGGGCAGAAGTGTGAGCTTTTCAAGGCGCAGGCGCGAACTCTCACGCACGCGCAGCAACGCAAAGTGGAGGCACACTGCGAGTTCTTCTTGCATCCATCAGGTGAGGCTGCCAAGTTGTCGAAAATCCATGAGGCGTCCTGTAGGAACAAGGAGGGCGTCTGGGCCGAAACTTGGGGAGCTTATGAGTACTGGAGTATTGATGGCTCGGGGTCAGACTTCCCATGTGAGCTCAGTGACTGCCAAGTCTTAATTTATGTCCACGGCTTTCGCACCCCCTTCCACCGAGCCATGAGCTTTCTGTATTTGCTGCAGCAGCGTCTGCGGATGGAACCTGAGGGAAAGCGCACGAATGTCATTGGGTTCTTATGGCCAAGCCACAAAACCTCCTATCCTGGGGCACGTGCGAAGGTTCCGGGGGCGGCGTTGAAGCTGCGAGGGCTTCTGCAGAGCTTGCATTCAACTGGATGCACTGTAACAGTGGTCGGCCACTCTTTGGGGGCCAGAGTGGCCCTGTCAGCCGTGAAGGATGCATTCCCTGACACCTTAGTTGCGAACATGTTTTTGATTGGGGCCGCGGTTCTTCACAATGCCTTGAGCAACGCTGGAGATTTTCCGCGTGAGTCGCTCGCAGTTCGGTCGATCACGGCTTTCTACTCTAAAAACGACGCGGTTCTGGCAGGGGGCTTCAGTCTTGCTGAAGCAAGCTCCAGATGCGGCACTAAACTCACTAAAGCCGACGCAGCTATGGGATTTCGTGGAATATCTGAGCCCCTCCCCCCTGGCTGCTTCTCCTGCGATGTCTCTTCGACGGTCCCTTCTCACTCTGCAGATGATTACATTCTGTCCTCCCCTGTCATGTCCGCTATCGTTGCGGCTGCGTCCAGGGAGTCTGGGGAGCTGCCCGAGACTTCAGGGCAGGCAGAAGCCTTCCTAAGCAGCGTGAGACTGATGCGAAGCGAGACTGTGGAAGACCATGAAGGAACTGCCAGTCTGTCAGATGAGGATAGCGGATCCGAGGCGCCAAAAGCCCCAATGGCTCCTCCAGACACCTGAGCAGCGTGGAAAAAGCTCCGACCGCCATCCCGCAGTTTGCTAAGAGGAGCTGCAGCGTCTTTGGTTTTGACAAAGACGCAGCTAGAAGGTTTTTTATCGCATCTGTCGAAGACGCAACTAGAAGGTCTGCATGGAAGACGAAAAGGTAAACATGTAATCGTCGTTCCCGAGCCCGAGCCTCCCTTTCGCTCCCATGACAAGGCAGCCACGGCAAAGGCAGCTGCTGCTGCAGCAGCTGAAAGGCTAGGCGCCGGGGCCCCCAGGACCTGTTTTCGGCCCGCTTACAATGCCAACGGCTCCGCTGGAACTGCCTCTGAACCTGGCTGTTGCAGCGCCGCTGTGCGCCGCTGCATCTCAGGTAACCACATTCCTGCTCGAGTGGGATGAGTGCCGCGCACAACTGTCGTTGCTGAAGTTTCTCCGCGGTCCATTGCCTGCATCGCAATCAGAACGGCGCCTTGTGAGTTTGCGGCTTAGGCTTCGGTTGCTAGCGGACGACTTCTCGAAAAAGTTGCGAGGCTAGCCTGCCATCGATGGATGAGACCGATGTACTTTTTGTGTACTTTGTCTGCCAGGTCGACGATTGATTTACGATTCTGAGACACTCTCTCATGCAGAGGCTTCCGTGCATAGTTGGAATCATTCCCATCCTGGTGTGTCAAAGTCGAGGTGGCTTTTGCGCTCGTGGTACAAGCCTTAGAGAGCCTGCTGTTTAAAGCTCGATACGCTCGCCACCCTCACGGGGACCAAGGTTGAGTCACTTGGCAAAGCAGTCTCTTCAAGTGTTTGGCCACAGCCTCGTTGGCAAGAACACCCATAGCGTACTGAGCCAAAATAGAAAACATGCACAAACTGGTCGGATGTCGAAGCAGCATTGCAGGCTAGACTATCGCGTCACCTTCGGCTACGACCGACTATTTGGGCACGACTGATGCTGAGTTGTAGCCAGAGGCGTTCAGCACAGGGAGTTAAGGCATTGCGCAACGGTTGCTTAGGTCCGCGGCATTGCGGATGTGGATTTGCCTGCTGCCTTCCACCCAGCAAGTGTTTCAAGCTTCGATGGTAAGTCATCTGGGCGAGGTTTGCTCATTGTTCATGACATGGAAATGTGAGTCAAGGATGCTTAATAAGGACGCATGCCATGTCAGCACCCAGGATCATGTGCATGCAGCCGCTGCGTGAAGCTTGGCCTTCATCAACAGCGCTTTGAGCGCACCGTCTGGGCTTGTCTGCGAGCAGTTGTCAAAAAGGTGATCCGAAAGAAGCTTCAAATCGCCAAAGACAGTCCGGACTTCTGGTGCTGGAAGGCCGCAGCAGAATTGCTCGAGTCCTGATCACGGCTTAAAGCGTCTGGGAAGAAATCCCTCAAATGACGGAAGGCTCAACAGTGCAAAACCAGCCCCGTGGAGATCCTTGGTTGCATATTGTGAATGGCATATTGCAGCTTAGACTCCGTGATGTTCTCTGTTTCCTTTCAGGCCGAGCGCTGAGATCATCTTCTCCTCCTGGTTAGAGGCTGTGGAGAAGCCACTTAAAGCCCACGTTCCCAACCGCTTCAAGTCGCTTCTGATTATCTGATGTCTCCATCACCTGGCAGGCTGCGGACCTACAAAAGGTCAACTTCGGTGGCGCAACTTCCGGATCAGGACGACCTCTCTGCTCTGGCTGTGCGAGCCATGCGAGCGAGAGGGTTTGCGTGGTGTACAGCGCGCAGGTTTGGGCAGCAGTTTCTGGCACTGGTGGACATCCAACCCTGAGGCCTACAGAGCCGGAAGATGCTGGAATGTGGTGGTTTCGGATTCTTACAGCTGCGATTGTACACGGCACCTGCACACGCCTGCACTGTTCAATCAAGGGCCAGGGTTTGGGCTCAAGCGTGGAGCCTGACCTGCCCCCCGCCGTCGCCTCTGCGGACCCAGGCCGGCCATTGGCTTGACATTGATGGATCAAGAGATGGACCCTTGTGGAACCTTAGGAATTGCGATTCAGCATCTTCAACCGAGGACACAGCCTGCCCGGCCACCGGTTCCAGCACGATGCGTCCGGCTGAGTTGCGAAAACCAGGAAGTTGATGCAAGTTTGTGTACAGAAAAGCACAAGCTGGCCTTCATCCAGGTCCTCCGATAGCATCTCCAGCAGATGGCAGGCCCTTGGCTCGCGAGAAGCAAGACAGCAGTGGCAAGTATGTCAAGGCGTCTCACTCCATCCTGCGCAGGCGGCACGAATGAAGTTTCATGCCGTCTACCGGATGTCGCGAAGAACGCCGGTGGGGATCTCAGTATATCTCAGTGCAACACTGCAGAATGGGGCTAGCTATCTGACCAGCACATTTCTAGGTGGGACTTTACTACTGTACAACTTTAGCACTTTATGAGTTTTGGGGTTCCTCTAATTTCATATTAAGGGAGCTAAAAGTCACACCTTTATTGGAGGGGTCAAAGAGCAACCAAGATTTAGAGCTTCACGTGGTGCGGCATGAATTGGTAGGTCAGCATGTGTGTACGAAGGGAATGACTGGAATTGACTGGAAGTAGCCTCAGTCGTAGGGAAGAGTCGAGAAGTTTTTCACAATTCTGCGCGCAAAGAATAGCAAGACACGGCGAACCTCCAACTCTCTGAAAACAAAGAAAAAGTTGAGATGAGCTTCGGGAATGGAAGGCAAACGCATATTCCAGAATCATCCAGCACCACCCCAATATGAACCGGTGCTTCAGAAATTTCAGAGACGGGGCTGCATGTGCATGCGCCAAGGTGTTGCACACAGGCCTGCCCGATGGCCAGCCGACACCGGCTGGGCACCCTGATTTCCCGAACCCGGACTGTGATGATAAATCATGCAAACACAGTAGCTAGTGTGTCATGCTGAACCCAGTTGGAAGAGCTGGAAGATTTGGACCCCGTGGAGCTGGAGGAGAGAAGTGTCCTCGCGAGGGCATCGATACATAGCTACCTTGCTGCCATCTGGAACACGGGAGGTTGCAGCAGGTACGGGTGCGCAATCAGGGACGGCGATCGCTACAGGTTGTTTATTGTTGTTTCAAGCTTCAGCATTTCGAGCAGAATTGCAGCAGATTCACAAAACGACATGACATAGGCCCGCACGTGATTAGGAGTCGCTGCATATTCCAGAAGGCCCAATGAAGCCGAGAGCCGATACAATCGACAGGACCGTGAGGTACAGCAGCAGGGCCTTATCAGACGAGCCTCGGCCAAGCAGCTGCATGGAGCGCAGGCAGGATGGCTTTGATGTTCTCTTATCCCGACCGTTTAGAGTTTAGACCTGGATAAGATTCAGGTTCTGTATTCTACTGCTCACAGGACACGAAGCCATTCGTTCCTGCTGCCGTCCGCCACCCACGGATCCTGAGCAATGTTGCATGAATTCTGGATACTCTGGCAGAGTCAACTAACTCACCAGAGGTGTTGGCAGTGATCATCGGCATTGCCTCGGTAGTCCCGTACAACATGGCTGAAGACCAAGTGGCCGCGTAGACGGCGTTGCACAACTCTTGCGCTCCACATCTCCGATCGTCTTCCCTGCAAGTGCAGAAAGTCGTGGCTCACAGGTCTTGCGCGGAGACCCTGGCTCACCGCTTTTTATTAGCTTCTGTTTGCACCACCCTTACAGTGCCCTTACAGGGTGATTTGTTGGCCCTGCTTGTACTTTTGGTGCACCTGTAGCTTCTGCGATAACTGTCACAAAAGCAACGGACTTTTTCCAAGGCACTTGGCGATCATCGGCAGCAGTCTGCATCACGCAGCGGACCTGATCAGGGAGAGAAGTGCCCCTCCAAGCGTGTGCAGCATCTTGCAAATGCGAGTGCGTGACGGCACGAGAGGTATTCCGTTCAAATATCATGCTGCACGCTCAGACATCCCTCCTACAAGTACTTGCAATTCTCAATTTAGCGTGTTGTTTGCACAGATGAGTATTATCGAGTAACTTGTAGCCAGAGCCTGGCGGTCCTGCATCTTCAGGGATTG